AAAGGGTCCCGACCCGAAACGTCAGCTTTCCTGCTCCTCTGATGCTGCCTGGCCTGCCGTGTTCCACCAGCTTCACACTGTGTTATCTCAGACTCCAGCATCGGCAGTTCTTACTATCTCTTATGAAATATGGCTTTGTCGAGGACCTTTGATCGCACTGGTACACACAGTTTGGACGTCCCTAGGTCAAAGTTGGTAACCAGGAGGCTCGGAGATGTCAAACACAAACACGGATGGAGTTGTTGACTGATTTTCGTGCAAACGTTTTGTCTCCCTTCTAGGTGACATCTTCAGTGTTGTGTAGCCTCCATTGAGGCACTGTTGTTCTGTCCCTCTCTGAATTTATATGTCCGGTCTGTCAGTCTTGTTTCTGGTTTTGTACCATAGTGGTACGTAGATGGGATCTATTTCAACATGTTTGTTAATTGCATCGGTGGCTGAAAACCAGGCCTCCAGGAATTCTCATGCTTGTCTTGCTTGTCCTAGTACTGTAACTTTGTCCCAGTTGTTCTTCTAGGTCAGAAGGTTATGATAAATTCAGAGCAGGACAGAACAACAGCGCTTCAACAGAGGCTACACAGCACTGATGATGTCACCTAGAAGGGAGAGAAATGCTTGCACTAAAACCAGTCAGCTCGGCGAACCAACCAACAGCTCCAACCGCAACCCGAGCTACAGATCTTTGTTAAAACATTAAACAAACACAGATGTCTACTATTTCCTCTTGTTCAGGGAGAAAAGCAACTATTAGCTATTTGGGGAAACAAGAAAAATAGACTCAACATGTCAGTTTGACCAGGTTACAAGTTAGCAGCCAACTCTTCAACAACTTCAAAACCATGCTTGAAGTTTATCAGTTTCTTGCAACAACAGGGTAATCTGTAAATTGACACACAGGTTCTGATATTAAAGCAGGCTGATGATTCATTTTGCAAACCTACTAGTTTTGTTTAAAGATAATTGGAACTGATGTAAATATCATATCCGTGAGAACATCCCATCACTCACTCATTCTAAGTTGCTGTGTGTGGGATTATAATGAGCCTGTGTAAGTTGCACACATTGGCCAATGGGAATACTGAAATGCCACTCGGGGCCAGGAAGGTGCAATGATACCGGGAGTGATCAGCATCAATGTCAATCACAAGTTTTTGGGAGGTCATTTCTAAATGTGCTCGTGAAAATGTATAATGGAAATATACAAAGTCTGACTTGAAATTGCGATTGAATTTGACTAGCACACCCTGATCTGGATATCTTTCACATTGCTCCATTTGAAGACTCCACCGGCTGTGGATTTCCATCCAATATTACCATTTCCCCCATTACCTCAGGAGGGTGTAATTACTCACTCTCTCAGCCATTGCTCAAGGGAGTGAGACAACTCTCAAGGCTCAAAGAAAGATCAGAGTGCGAAAGGTTTGGAAATACTTCGGACCCAACTGATGTTATTACAGGACAAGTGACATCCCAGATTGAAATGTGGCTTGATTGATCATGTTTATTTTTCCTCAATTTAAAGAGGTAGTCTTTCACTGAAAAACAAGCATGCAATGCTGTAGATTTTGTTTAAACAACAACACAAAAGTTTATGATGCAAAATATAAAACAAAATAAACCAAGCTATTTACGTAAAACAAAATTTAAAAGATTTCAAAGCATTCACTAAAACTACAATATTCCATTTCTCTCAACAGTTTCCCTTTACAGCACTCAAACACCAGAGAGAATTCCCTTTGGTATCATATCTCTAGGTGTGACTTAACTGTTGCTTTCAAATCTTGGTCTTGACAGTTTGATAGCCTCTTCCTCAAGTATTCACACAACGGAGTTTAGATTTTCTCAGTTTCAAATAACACCTTAAAGGTCTTAAACAAATACTCACAAACTAAAAATCCATACACTGAGCTAACTCATTGCCTAACTTTTCTGTACTGACTCTTTTTCTCCAAGAGAAACTGTTTCACATCACTAATTTCAACTAGGACCACAGCTATGGGGAAAGGGCAGTAAAGTGGAGTTCAGGATTATCCATTCAACCATGATCTCAGAATGGCAGAGCAAGCTCAATGGACAGATATGTCTTAAGAGTCTTTATATGAAATTTCATCATCTTCAGCAGTCTCCAAGGATGAAGAATAACTTGCTTCCATTTAGGTTTGATTGGCTAAGTTAGATAAAATGCCAAATATGTGAGCTGGAGACTCTGCCACATGCAGGGCAGATGGTCCTTGCATGGTTGGGCGGATGAGGTGGTTGTAATATTTCCAACACTTCAACTTCAGCTCTGCACGCTTCTGAAGAAGTGTCTCGATTTGCTCCTTTGCTTCCTGAATGAATCTTTCCCATTTTGATTGGTCACTTGACAAGGACTCCCATGAGTCACGGGGATGTTTGATCTCTTCAAAGAGATTTTGAGGACATCCCTAAGGTGCAACAAGTGTCCTGCTTTGACCAAGCTGCAAATTGACTAGCCTAGTGTCAAAGACATGCTCCACTCAGTGGAATTCGTTTAGAGAGTATTAGAGCCTTGGTGCTGGCCAAGTTGGCTGGTCAGAATTTGTTGCTGTTGGACTGCTTTCCTTACCGCTGAATCTGGAGGGTTGTGTGATGGCACTGCGGGTGGTAATTCTCCAGGGCTTTGAGGTGACTGTTGTGGCACATTCAAATTTCTGAGTATAAGAGTGTGGGGAATCACTGCTGCCCAGCAAACCATGACCTTAACCTCACGTTCAAGATCCTGGCTCTCCAGTATTCTCTTCCTCTGTTGGTTAAACTGGAGACAACGATGAAATCCATCAGCTACGTCTAGCCTTGTCAAGTAGAGGTTCACATTTTCCACAAAGTTTCATGTTTTAACACCATCTCACACCTTTCCCTCTCACATTTGACTTTGACATAATGTCAAGAGTTTATTTTGGTGAGCAGGATTTATCCAATTGTACAAGTTGTCACTCCAGATTGAAATGAGGAGGAAGGGACTGATGTTACCTGGGACTGAATGCACAATAAAAGGTTCACATCTCTCTGCTGCATCAATAGAAACCAGCAATCACACAGAGTGGCATTGGTTACATTTTCTCTACAGTGTTATTGAGGTATGTCAATTCTTTTTCCATT